GCCGAGGTGGGTGGATCACGAGGTCAAGAGATCAAGATCATCCTGGTCAACAAAGTGAAACTCCGTCTCTACTAAAAATACAAAAATTAGCTGGGCATAGTGGTGCATGCCTGTAGTCCCAGCTACTCGGGAGGCTGAGGCAGGAGAATTGCTTGAACCCAGGAGGCAGAGGTTGCAGTGAGCCGAGATCGTGCCATTGCACTCCAGTCTGGGTAACAACAGCGAAACTCCGTCTCAAAAAAAAGTATACACTTTGGTATAAGTTCTAATGAGTTAGACCCTATTTTTAAATAGCATCCAGATAAATTTACAGTTCCAACTTAGATAAATTATAGATTGTTCCTAAGATTTTTATAAAAGAAATCCATACCAATTGAACATAGGATATACATAAACAGTTGTAAAACTTTAAATTCTGCAGTGTTCTTTCTCCTGTAATTAAACTGTAGGCATATCAGAGTGGTTCGTTGCAGAAGCTCCTTCAGGAAGATTCGGCATATGATTATGATCTGATCGTCATCGGTGGTGGTTCTGGTGGCCTTTCGTGTGCAAAGGTATGAACATAGAAATGAAATTCATGGATAGTCTTCCTGGTGATTGCCATAGGCATTTCTTCTATACTTAAAAAAGAAGAAACAACTAATGTTACAGTTTAAGCTTCTATTATAATAGCTGGTGTAATTAAGGTAAAAGATTGTGTGTCACACAAAAAGAGTCTTTTAGAGAAGACAAAAATTGAGGGAGTGTCAGAAAAGTGACAAGATCTTTAGATGTAAATTTTGTTGTTATTGTTCATTTGTAGGAAGCTGCAATTTTGGGAAAGAAGGTTATGGTGCTAGACTTTGTTGTCCCGTCACCTCAGGGCACATCCTGGGGTAAGCTGTTTTTCTCTGTTGTTCCTCTATGCTCTTTACATATGTTGTTTGCTTTATGTAATCTCATTTAATCCTCACCACAATCTCAAGAGGTATAACTTACCTGTTTCTTAGATAAGAAAACAGGCAAGGCTAGGCCAGACCCGGAGGCTCATGACTGTAATCCCAATACTTTGTGGGGCTCAGAAGTTCCAGACTAGCCTGGATAATATAGCGAGACCTTGTCTCTATTTAAAAAAAATAAAAAATAAAAATAAATTTTTTTAAATGGACTGAGTGAGGTTATAGTTAACAAGTGGTGATGTTGGAAAGATAATGTAAACATAAGTAAGGAAGATTTTGCAAAAAGAAAATAAAATTCCATGACGCCAAGTATTTCAGCACTTCTGCCATAGTATTTTTTTGCATGCATGTCGTGTAGTTGAGGTCACAGTGTATATACTGTGTTGTGGTCACATAAGTTTGCAAGAAACACATTTCTTTGTTTCTGTGTCAGTTTCATAATTGACTATATTAGCAGCACAGTAGCTGATGGAGTGAGTGTATGTAATCTTTACAATTTAGCTTAACAAGAAGACCAATGACCAGCCCTATGACTCTACTGTCTCCTGTAGACTAGAGTGCTCACCTTTCCATGTTGTTTTTCCACAGTGAAAAGAGCACATGGATTTTGTGCTGGATGTTTCCATTTATTCTTTAAATGCAGTCCCCCTCTGTGTCTGCCCTGCTCTGTGCCCCATAAGACTGATCTGTTGGCAGCTCTGCCCTCTGGCTTCTGGGATAGCTTGGCCACTTTGGGGTAATGGGAAGAGGGCAGAGAGATAGTGGAGTTGGGATTTTACTCCCCTGGCTCCTTCCCTGCTGGGTCCCTGCATCTTCCTCTGGAAAATGCCGTCCCCTCCATTAGATGGCTGGCTCCTAATGGGTGGTGGCACTCAGTCTCCTTGCCCCTTCACATGGTGCTGCCAGTGGTCACCCTGTGTCACTAGTTTAGGGAACTATTCTATCCCTCTTTGCAATTCCTGCTTGCACCTTTGTGATAATTTCTCTGTTAATCCTTCAGTTACCCAACCTGAGTGTGTCTTCTCTTTTCTGCCAGAACCAGTCTGATAAATTGTGAAAATCAATTTTTAAAATTCAAACTTACTCAGAAAGTTACAGCCTAGAATTTTATATACAAAAGCTAATCTACCTTGATTTTTCTCATAATATTCTTGTGGTGTATGTATACTTGTTTTTTGTCCCTCACCCTGCCCTCTTTCCTCTTTTTCTCCTCCCCTTCTCCCTTTCTTATTCAGAAGTCATCCTACTTATCTGGCATGCCAGAAGACACTGCAGTCAGAAAGTATCTGAGACTGCCCTGCAAAGGGGCACTCTGTTTTGCATGATCCATTTTGCGGTGTTTAGCACTCAGAGTAAATGTGTCCAGGCAGCTTGCAGTTGATGACCTGGCTCAGAGGAGTTGGAGTTATGGAGAGTACAAGGCTGGGAACTGAGTTTCTCACCCTTTCTCACCCTTGATGTAGTACATATCTAGTTAATCTCAAATCATTCTGATCACTGTGGATCAGACTCAAGTGAAAGTTTTGGACTCTGTGTCCAGAAAACTTCTCACATGAATGTCTGTATTTTTAGGCATCCTTGGGTCTCCTCTGTGGAACCATGGTCAGAAAATTTGGGGTAATCCCTTGTGTCTTATTTTGGGGTGGGGTGTCATCCCCCCACCATTGAGCTTGTAATTTCCACATGTTTTAATATAATATGTCTGGAGATGTGTGAAACTAGACACACACAGAAGAGGCATTAAAACTTATTTTCTTTCTCAGGTCTTGGTGGCACTTGTGTAAATGTAGGTTGTATTCCTAAGAAATTGATGCATCAGGCTGCCCTTTTGGGGCAGGCATTACATGACTCAAGGAAGTTTGGCTGGGAGTATAATCAACAAGGTGAGTAATGTATATAAAGTATAGATTGAGAGAAAAGAAAAAAATGAGTTTTTTAGATAAAGACTTGCTATTCATGTTTTTATAGTTGAGTTCATAATTCATCTAATGAACATTCATTAGGAAGCCACTGTGTAAGCCAGGCATACAGGATGCAAAGAGGGTCCCACTCTTATGGGCCTCACCACCTAGAGAGGGAATTGTCTCAGCTGCAGCTGTTCCATACCCTTAGCAGAATGTAAAAGATTAAATAATTGCTATTTTCAAATTTCTTTCAAGTATAAAGAAAATAGAATAGCAAAGGTTATTGTTTGAATTTTATCTGTTACATTTTTTTCTCAGTGGTTATATGTATCTTTGGTTAATGAAAGGTGGAAAATAAATTCATCCAGTAAACATGTATTAGCCAGGCTCTGAGGATACAGATGTGAGGAAGCAGAGCTGCCTGTAAATAGCCTGTAGTCCGGTGGGAGAGAGAGAGACAAGGAAATTCATTCAGTGCACTCAAATTAGCTGTGCTGCTTAGAGTATTGGCTCCATGTAGCCTTGAGGGTGGTGGGGGAGTGTCAGGGAAAGCTCTTCAGACAAGGTGACCCTTGAGTTGCATCTGGAAGGTCACAGAGGAGTAGGACCTTTAACACAGGAAGCAGCTTGATGAACACTATGGAGATGTGAGGAAACATGATGTTTTTTGGGGGGGTTAGGAGCAGCTGGAGTGAAGAGTAGATGAAGGGAGTTGAAACAGGAGAGGAGATGAGCCATGGGCTGTGATTCCGGATCCTTTTGTCAAGCTAAGTAGCAAGCAGAGAGAAACTCCCTATTGAAAATGAGGCTTATTTCTGAATTGGGCACTGCAGCTGGAATATGTGTGCCATAGTAAATGATGTGCATGTTCAGGGATGTAAAGGAAGACAAGGGTTTCCTAAGCAAAAATGAAGATGATAGGATTGAAATGATTATCCTTGGCTACAAGGATCAATAACTAGGGTGACTCAAGTCCAAGGTGGACAGGCAGTTGCTGGGCAGATGTCCTGGAAGATGTATTTTTATGTAAGGTTATGATGGCCTTTGGGCAAGTTTGTGGCCTTTGCAGTCTTTGTGATGATTATGTTATCAGGCATAAACCCAGAAAACGCTTTCTTCATGGCCTTCCCCAGCTCTGTTTGTCAGAGGTTTTTTTTTTTTTTTTTTTTTAAAAACACACAAGTTACTCCATTTTGATTTTGACAATTTTTACACCTATGATGACACTGAGGAACTTAGAAAAGAGAGGAAAGGATAGGGAAGTGGGGGCAAGAAATGACAGAGGCCTGAGCAAAGACTGAAGTCAGGTTGGAGGGCAGTTGAAGGCATAGAATTGACCAGACGTGGTGACCAGTTGGATGTAGACTTGGCTGTGAATCAGAATGTCTTGGGGGGTTTAAGAAAAATTACAAACCACTTGTCTCTTTTTGCAGATATTTTGATCTGGTAGATGTGGGCAGTGAATGTGCACATTTAAAGGATCATGTATGATCCTGGTTCTAACCATAGACAGGTGATTATGACAGGTCATCCAGGTCATGGTAGGAGATGGAGTGAGGGAGAGGAAAGAATATGGGAAGAGGGACTGGGGGAAGTGGAATACCATTCATTGAGATGGAAAACACAGGCAGCTTTGGCAGGGTGGGGTTGAGTTCAGGATAATGGGTTGATGCTGGACCCATTTCTCCAGTCAGCTCAATGGAGAGCTTTAGGTCAAGCTAGGATTAGCTGGGCATGGTGGTGCATGCCTGCAGTCCCAACTACTCAGGAGGCTGAGGCAGGAGGATTGCTTGGATCTGGGAGGCCGAGCCTGCAGTGAGCTGAGATTGTGCCATGGCACTCTGGCCTCAGCAAGAGGGTGAGACCCTGTCTCTTAAAATATCTATGTGGGTGTGTGTGTATGTATGGGTATATATGCATGTATTGTGTATGTGTATGTATATGTGGTGTGTTGATATATACATATATATATACTCACATGTATAATTGAAAATTGTAACAAAAAATGAAAATAACTTGAAATAAATTCAACCAGGAATGTACAGGATATATAAGGAAAGAATATAAAGGCATGAAAAGAAATTTACTATGATTTTAGAGAGGATGTCTCAATATTGTGAAGACATTATCTCAAAAATTATTTGTAAATTTTATATAAGTCTGGTAAGCTCTCCATGAGACATTTTTTTCTGTTTGGAGATTGACTAATTATTTTAAAATTTGTATTGAAAAATACATATGTGAAAATAGCTAGGCAACCTTTGAGAAGGTATAAAGGGTGAGCTTTCTCAGTATTTAAAAATGTTGTACTATTGCAGGACTAAGCACATCAATGAAACAGTAGAGCAGGTGGTTTCAAAGTGCTAGTTCATAGATTTGGCATATCAGAAACTCCAGGAGGAGCTTTTTAACTGTATAGGTTCCACGGTCCCACTCCTGATTTTATAGGTTTTGGCAGGTCCTAGGATTTGTATAGGTCAACATGATTCCCATTATGACATATTTGAGAGCCTCTAATCTACACTACCTTTTGCAACAAGAACAAGAAACAAAAGGACACATGAACCATGAGTTGAGCTGACAGGATTCTTAGGATAAGCAGTTTAAGGGTTGGAAGAAAAGCTTTTCTGGGGGTTGGGGAAAAAATATCTTTAGGATGTGAGTGTATGTACCATTGTGGCAACATGATCTCTGCTGGGACAGGTTTGAGAATCATCATAACCTACGTGACAGGGAGTGGGAGGATGGGGTAATGTGGTAACAAGAACAACTATTTTGGGTTGCAAAAATTTAGGAGACTGTGGTACACTGGCATCATAGAAAGGGTCGTGTGTGTTGACATTGGCTAAGCCTCTCTGTGCACTGACTGTCTCCTCTAGTCGTCTCCCTATCCTGTATGGTAACATCCCATATCCCTGGATGAAAAGGGGGGCATTTCTTGACAGTGGTAGATGGAGTAAGTTTCCAGATGTGACTGTTGACCTCAGGTTGTTGGTTTGTCTTCCGGAATCTCATCTAGTTATGATGGAAGCCCTAGCTGGGGCGCCCCTGCATCTTATAAACACAGAGCTACACAGGGTGACCTTCAGGATCTGGCATCTGTAGATAAGATGAACACTATGCAGTAAATCCCACCTAGAAGATACAGAGATGACACAGAATTCCAGCAGCCAAATCCTGCCCCCCCTTCCAAAGGAATGGGTAGGTGATCATGAGCCATGTTTGTTGTAAAGACACGTAAGATATTCACTGTCATGAAACCATTGTGCTGTGAACCAAATGGGAATGGAACCATGTCAGTCTCTTGAGGAGAGTGTCCTAAGCTCACTGACTTGAGGCCTTCTTCCCATCCAAGGAACAAAGTAGTAGGTCCCATGGAGTGGGAAAGGGTTCTAGGAGATGCTGCCAAGGAGAAGTGAGCCTCCTGCCTTATGTCGTCGTGAGCATTGCCATATGAGAGCCAGTTTCCCCATTCTCTCCTCCACGAACTTTTCCCCAGTTTTCTTCTTTTCCAAATTCTTGCTTTTTGCGCATTCTTTGTAATATAAAATAGGAAGAATATAAACTATGGCTGGCATAAAAAAGATTTAAATTGTTAATTATCTTCTGTCTACTTCATGATTTTTAAAGCACTGTTAGTATGGCTCATGTCTAGTTACATAAAATTTATCATTAAAGGTAAAATTCACTTAACATCTTTACCCTGGTTGTTTCTTCTTAGTGAAGCACAGCTGGGAGACTATGACAAAAGCGATTCAGAACCACATCCGCTCTCTAAACTTTGGCTACGGGTTGTCTTTGAGGGAAAAGGCTGTGGCCTATGTCAATTCCTACGGAGAATTTGTTGAACATCACAAAATAAAGGTACTGTTTGAGTTTCTTGTCCTGTTCATTTTCTTTCCTTACAATTGTTTGTACTTGCCTTGGACTAAAATTTCATGTTGCATGCTAAGGAGCGTAACAGGCGTGCATGTGCGTGCACACACACACACGGTCATGCGTGTACATGTGTTTTTCTCCCATTGTTTGTTGATTCTATATGTTTGGTTACCTTGAAGAAATTGTGTTTTAAAGAACCCTTAAGTTATTTGCCTTTTATTTTATGGCCATATTAAAAGAGAACATGTTTAGACTAAGCAGTTCAAAACTTAAAAGACTAAAAAGATCAAAATTTTATTAGTGGAATCCTTCCTAAAAATAAAACCTTAACTAGAACTCCAATATATATTATTCATAAAAGCATTGATAAAAGTAGTATTAGAATTAGTGTGTTTTGTAAGTTTATCTTTGTAGTATTTATATATTATTAGATTAACATATAGGGAAAATGAGATGTTGAGGAACACAGTTTGAATTGGAATTTTGACAGACAATCAGATGTTATCCTCATCATCTGGTTTATTTTTGTACTTTGTTAGCACAGTGAGAGATAATCTTGACGAGATTTTGTATTCAGTTGTTATCTCAGAAATGTGTGAGGTATGGTCCATTTAAAGCTGTCCTTCAAGGTTTATTTTCAACGTTTTATTTAAATATTTTTATTTCAACAGGAAATAATTGGGAACATAATATAGTAAATAGCCAAATACTCATTTCCTAGCTTTAACGATTGTTATCATTTGCCATATAATCTATATTTTGGATGATGTGTTTTAAAGTCAATTAAAGATATATTTCACTCCTAAAAAATAATAAGATAAAGCCAGCCCTTTAAAACCTCACATGGGCCAATTTCAATTATGTTGTTTACGTGAAACACAGTAGAAATACGTGTTTTATTTCTCAAATTTCCTGGCACAGATGGTTGAATAAGCCCCAGCCATACCTGCCTCTTGTGTGGCTCTTTGTTTAGTGATGCTAGTACATTCGCAGTCCCTCAGGCTAGAAGCTCCAGAGTTTCCCTTTCACCCCACAGCCTGTACTTGTCTTTTTCAGAGCCCTTCTAAGCAAGGCTCTTTCTCCAGGTTCTGTTCTGTATCCCATTCATGGTGCCAACCTACTTGTTTAAACACCTTGATTAGTATTTGAATTCTTTTACCCCAACAATTGGTGTTTATTAAACATACTGTGCTCACACTTAGCATTGAACCCAGTATAGCAATAAAAAATATTATAAAAAGATACTTCATGACATGGGAATATGCTCATAATGTATTTTTTTTCTCCTCAGTCTTTTTTATTGCACTTTAGGTTTTGGGGTACATGTGAAGAACATGCAAGATTGTCGCATAGGTACACACATGGCAGTGTGATTTGCTGCCTTCCTCCCCATCACCTATATCTGGCATTTCTCCCCATGCTATCTCTCCCCAACTCCCCACTCCCCACTGTCCCTCCCCTATTTCCTCCCTACAGACCCCAGTGTGTGATGCTCCCCTCCCTGTGTCCATGTGTTCTATTGTTCAACACCCACCAATGAGTGAGAACATGTAGTGTTTGATTTTCTGTTCTTGTGTCAGTTTGCTGAGAATGATGGTTTCCAGGTTCATCCATGTCCCTACAAATGACACCAACTCATCATTTTTGATGGCTGCATAGTATTCCATGGTATATATGTGCCACATTTTCCCTGTCCAGTCTTTCATCAATGGGCATTCAGGTTGGTTCCAGGTCTTTGCTATTGTAAACAGTGCTGCAGTGAACATTCATGTGCATGTGTCCTTATAGTAGAACAATTTATAATCCTTTGGATATATACCCAGTAATGGGATTGCTGGGTCAAATGGAATTTCTATTTCTAGGTCCTTGAGGAATCACCACACTGTCTTCCACAATGGTTGAAGTAATTTACACTCCCACCAACAGTGTAAAAGTGTTCCTATTTCTCCACATCCTCTCCAGCATCTGTTGTCTCCAGATTTTCTAATGATCTACATTGTAACTGGTGTGAGGTGGTATCTCAGTGTAGTTTTGATTTGCATTTCTCTAATGACCAGTGATGATGAGCATTTTTTCATATGTTTGTTGGCCTCATGTGTGTCTTCTTTTGTAAAGTGACTGTTCATGTCCTTTGCCCACTTTTGAATGGGCTTGTTTGTTTTTTTCTTGTAAATCTGTTTTAGTTCTTTGTAGATTCTGGATATCAGCCCTTTGTCAGATGGGTAAACTGCAAAAATTTTTTCCCATTCTGTTGGCTGCCGATTCACTCTAATGACTGTGTCTTTTGCCGTGCAGAAGCTGTGGAGTTTGATTAGGTCCCATTTGTCTATTTTGGCTTTTGTTGCGAATGCTTTTGGTGTTTTGGTCATGAAGTACTTGCGTATGCCTATGTCCTGAATGGTTTTGCCTAGATTTTCTTCTAGGAGTTTTATGGAGTTAGGTCTTATATTTAAGTCGTTAATCCATCTGGAGTTAATTTTAGTGTAAGGTGTCAGGAAGGAGTCCAGTTTCTGCTTTCTGCACATGGCTAGCCAGTTTTCCCAACACCGTTTATTAAACAGGGAATCCTTTCCCCATTGCTCATTTTTGTCAGGTTTGTCAAAGATCGGATTGTTGTAGATGTGTGGTGTTGCCTCCGAAGCCTCTGTTCTGTTCCATTGGTCTATATATCTGTTTTGGTACCGGTACCATGCTGTTTTGATTACTGTAGCCTTGTAGTATAGTTTGAAGTCCAGTTGTGTGATGCCTCCCTCTTTGTTTTTTTTTTTTTTGCTTAGAATTGACTTGGCTATGCAGGCTCTCTTTTGGTTCCATATGAAGTTTAAGGTGGCTTTTTTCCAGTTCTGTGAAGAAGGTCATTGGTAGCTTGATGGGGATAGCATTGAATCTGTAAATTACTTTGGGCAGTATGACCATTTTCACAATATTGATTCTTTCTAACCATGAACATGGAATGTTTCTCCATAGGGTTGTGTCCTCTCTTATTTCATTGAGCAGTGGTTTGTAGTTCTTGAATCTGAATGTTTTTAAATGAAAATATATTTTCGAATTATTTGTATAATTACAAATTGTGAACAACCTTTGTTGGTTCCCCATAGCCTAAGTTGTTAGGATGACATAAGGGCTTTTACACTTGGCTCTAGTCTGTCTGTTTCATGTCACTTCTGACACAACCCTGATCTCCAGTCTTCACACACCCAACTCCTTCCAGGCCCATGTGCTTTTGTGTACATTGTTCTGTCTTTCAGGTCTCTGTTCCTCTCCCATCATTTCACTTTTCTCATCTCCATTTGAACATCTCCACTCCTTCTTTAATCCATCCTTGATTGGCTTTCTAGTCCACTACTCTACCCTCACCATGGGGCTTTGATTAATATTTCATAAAGATTTCTATTTTCTGTGCTTGTGCTTATCACACATTATTACTTTTTTGCATGTCTGCTGTTCCTGTTGTATGGGAAGCTCTGTGAGGGTAGTAACTGTTTTGTCCATCGTGTCTGGTACTCTATAGTGTTTGTTGAGTAAGTGAGGTTTACTTCTTTTTTTTCAAGGCAACCAATAAAAAAGGACAGGAAACTTATTATACTGCTGCACAGTTTGTCATAGCAACAGGTGAAAGGCCGCGGTATTTAGGAATCCAAGGAGATAAAGAATACTGTATTACCAGGTAAGGAGACTTTAATGTTAATACACTGCATCATATTGACATGTTTCCAGTTTATTAACTTCCTGTCTTATTCTACTAAAGATTCGAATAGACAAATGAAAATACATACAGTGCGAGAAGCTAAACAGTCAAAGGCAGTGAAACAGAGAATATAAAGTCAGGTAAATAAGGCCAGTGGCAAAATTAATGTACAAAAATATGGCATATGTATCTTGGTGATTGCTAGAAGTAGGGAGCTTGGTTCTAAACCTCTTGCAGGCCAAAGCAAAGAAGTAAACACAATTAGCTCTAGGATTTAGTATCCTTATGACAAAAATACTGCTCTTCTTAACACTGAGATTTAATGGGAGTTCTTGGTCAAACAGAGGACATACGTACAATGACTTGCAAACTTTTTTGCGCTGACTCACATTAATTAAATACATTGTTTTGTCCAGGTAAACAAACACACACCCCTTCACATAGCACATACATACACCTCCAAAACAAACAGATTTTTTTCTCATCACATGTAATATAGTCTGATATTTTCTATACTGTTTTGTTTTTTAAAAAACTTTGCTTGTGATCTGATTTTGAAATAACTGAAGTATACTTATTGTTCCACTCCACAGCAGACTTAATTAAAAATTTCAAAGGTTGTTGCTTCATTCACACACTAAATTATAATTCAGTCATTACAAGACCATTATACATTGAAACATGAATAACTCATTTCATTCTTACTGCCTAGGTTTTTTTTTTTTAATTTTTCTTTTTCAGTGATGACCTTTTTTCTCTGCCTTATTGCCCTGGTAAAACGTTAGTGGTGGGTGCCTCTTATGTCGCCCTGGAGTGTGCAGGGTTTCTGGCTGGCTTTGGCCTAGATGTCACAGTTATGGTACGCTCAATCCTTCTCCGTGGCTTTGACCAAGAAATGGCAGAGAAAGTGGGTTCCTACATGGAGCAGCATGGTGTGAAGTTCCTATGGAAATTCATACCTGTGATGGTAAGGCTGCATGGCTTTTGCAGTTTCTTTTCTCTGAGTTTTCACTTTACCCCACCTTATTTCATTTCATTACATAAATTAGTCTGTATTCAAATAATGTTAAAACAGTGTTTCTACTCCCAAGTCTACAGAGCCAACCCCATTTGCCCCCCTGTCCCCTCTTCTGATATAGGAAGTGTCCTTGCTCTTTTCAAAGGCTGAGTCCCCTAATCTCCTGCTTTGTTTTACCTTTCAAGGATGTCCCATCTTTAGTTAGTTGTATTCTTTTTCCTTATTCATATCACTGTCTCTCATCTTGAACAATTAAGACTTCTCTTACCCTCACTGCCATTATGGCTGGGTCCCTATTTTTCTTTTCTCCTTTATTAAAAAAAAAAAAGAAGTTCTGCATGCTGCTTCTAATTTCTTGCCTCCATTTCACACTTACCTGACTGTCAGCTGTTTCCACCTCCACTACTTCTTTGAAACTGATTGTAGGCTTTTAGCAAATTTCCTGTCGTCAAATCCAGTGGTACTGTCTCTGTCCTTATCTTACTGGGCCTCTTGACAGCATGTGGTGAAACTGGCCTTCTGTTTGAAGCACCCTCCTTTCTGGCTTATGTGGTCCCACAGTCTATAGTTTTCTCATCTACGTCTACTCAACCTATAGGCGCCAGCACCCATTTGTTTTCCTCCAGGCCCCTCTTCACTTCTGTGCACTTGTATTACCTGGATGATCTTCTCTAGGCCCATAGTTTAAAACATCATCTAAATGCTAATGATTCTCAGATTTATATCTCCTGTTTAAGAGTCTCTCCTGAATTGCACATTCATTTATACTTCTGTCTACTGGAAATTGCCACTTGAATCTCTCATAAGCATTTCAAACTTAACAAGAGAAAAATGAAACTCTAGATTTTTTACCTAAATATATTCTCCTGCTAATCTTTCTGGTCCATCTCAGTACTTGGTAAATGGTACTTAACACAATGTATTAAGCCAGTATTGAGGAACACCCCTTAATTTCTCTTTTTTTCTCCCTCTGATCTCAATTAATTCATTAATTCATTTCTACCTCCAAAATGCATCTGTGACAGTCCACTTCTCTCTATTTCTGCCTTGTCCAGAAACCTTAACTATACTAACACATATTGTATATACCAGCACCACACACACAAGTGTACACGAACATACCAGTGTACACCCTTTTATGCATTTCTTTTATCATATTTAGATAGCACCATTACACTCTTTATTCTTACTAGGTTCAACAGTTGGAGAAAGGTTCACCTGGAAAGCTGAAAGTATTGGCTAAGTCCACTGAAGGAACAGAAACAATTGAAGGAGTCTATAACACAGTGAGTTTTTATTATCATTAAGTTATTGAACACACTCATAAATTAACAGAAATGAAACTTACAGGTAGATTATACCGGATTAACATTTTTTTATTCTTTGTAACAGCGTTATTATGGAAGATAGTTTGGCTGCTGATGTTTGAGTTTTCAGTAATACATGAGGATTACCATGGTAAAATACGTGTGTTTGCAACTGTATGTAAAATTTGGAAGCACATATATCCAGATGTTATTAGTGTTTACTTTTGAAGAATCAGTTATTTTATACATTTCTTAATTTGAATATTTTACAATAAATATTGAATATATTTTATAATAAAAAACAATAGCAAAGCTATTTTTCTTTCTCAAAAACAAACAGTACAAAATCACCAAACAATGTTAACCCATGGAATACTTTAGAGGCCAATAATTCTTTTTAATTAGTTTATAGTTTTGACAGAAACTATACATTTATGTTTATTATTATTTTTTTTGAGACAGAGTTTTGCTTTTGTTGCCCAGGCTAGAGTGTAATGGTGCCATCTCAGTTCACTGCAACCTCCACCCGCTAGGTTCAATAATTCCCCTGCCTCAGCCTCCTAAGTAGCTGGAGTTATAGTCATGCACCACCACACCTAGCTAGTTTTAGTAGCAATGGGGTTTCCCCATGTTGGTCAGGCTGGTCTTGAACTCCAGACCTCAGGTGATCCACCCACCTTGGCCTCCCAAAGTGCTGAGATTACAGATATGAGCCACTGTGCCCTGACCATTTATGTTTTATATACTCTTTATGTAGATATTTTTTCAGTTAACAAAAATACAACCTAGAGAGCATCCACAAACCCAAAAAACATGTTACAAAACCAAAACCCCCAAATCAACCTTGTTGAGATTTTGATTAGGATTGGATTGGATATATAGGAAAATTTGGAAACCCTTGACTTTTTCAATGTTCAGTCTTCCAACCCATGAACATGGTATATCTAGTCATTAATTTAGGTTTTCTTCAATGATTCTCGGAAAAGTTAATACATTTCTCCTTAGGGATCAAGAACATCTGTTAGATTTATTACTAGGTACTTATGTAATTTATATGTAGTTACAAATAGTTTTTTTAAAAAATATATTATCTTTAACTTTCTGGTGTATAAAAGTGCTGGCTATTTTTGTGTTTTGATTTAGTATTCAGTAATCTTGCTAAACTCTTACTGAAAAATTTAACCTTAGATTATTTCAGATTTCCTGTGTACACATTTATTTATTTGTGAATAATAACAGTTTGTTTCTCCCTTTTTACTGGTTTTCCCCGTTTTTCTTGTATAAATGCATTAGTTAGGACCTTCAGTACAGTCTTGACAAGAAATGGCAATAGCAGACACTCTTGTCTCCCTGATGACAAATGATGGACAGCAATTGTTATGTGTTTATTGGCCACTGATGTATCTTTTCTTTGAAGTGTTTGTTTAAATCTCAACCATTTTTTGTTGGATCATTTGAATTTTTTTTTTAATTTTTTATTGCATTTTAGGTTTTGGGGTACATGAGCAGAACATGCATGACAGTTGCATAGGTACACACATGGCAGTGTGTTTTGCTTCCTTTCTCCCCTTCACCCATATTTGGCATTTCTCCCCAGGCTATCCCTCCCCACCTCCCCCTCCCACTGGCCCTCCCCTTTTCCCCCCAATAGACCCCAGTGTTTAGTACTCCCCTCCCTGTGTCCATGTGTTCTCATTTTTCATCACCCACCTATGAGTGAGAATATGCGGTGTTTCATTTTCTGTTCTTGTGTCAGTTTGCTGAGAATGATATTCTCCAGATTCATCCATGTCCCTACAAACGACACTAACTCATCATTTCTGATTGCTGCATAATATTCCATGGTGTATATGTGCCACATTTTCCCAATCCAGTCTATCGTCAATGGGCATTTGGGTTGATTCCAGGTCTTTGCTATTGTAAAGAGTGCTGCAATGAACATTCATGTGCATGTGTCCTTATAGTAGAACGATTTATAGTCCTTTGGATATATACCCAGTAATGGGATTGCTGGGTCAAATGGAATTTCTATTTCTAAGGCCTTGAGGAATCGCCACACTGTCTTCCACAATGGTTGGACTAATTTCCCACCAACAGTGTAAAAGTGTTCCTTTTTCTCCACATCCTCTCCAGCATCTGTTGTCTCCAGATTTTTTAATGATCGCCATTCTAACTGGCGTGAGATGGTATCTCAATGTGGTTTTGATTTGCATCTCTCTGATGACCAGTGACGATGAGCATTTTTTCATATGATTTGAATTTTTATTCTTGAATTGCAGGACTTCTATATATCTTGGGCATTTTTTTTTTCAGATATATGTATTGTGAATATTTTCCTCCAATCTGTGACTTGCCTATGTACTTTTTAGAAGTATCTTTGGGTTAGCAGTAGTTTTAAATTTTGGTGAAGTTTAATTTTATTCATATTTTACTTTATGGTTCATGCTTTCTGTGTGCTTTAAGAAATCTTTGCTAACCCAAAGGTCATGAAAGTATCCCTTTGTTTCCTTCCTGAAGTTGTATAGTTTTACCTTTTATGTTTAAGTCTGTAATCTGCCTTTAATTAATATTTTTAATTCTCATTCATTTTAATTAGAATTTATTTTAATTAGATTTTAAGCTACTTTTGCTTTTGGAGGCTTTTGAAAAGAAAACTGAATTAGGTCCCTTTCACTGTCCATTGATTTCTTTTCCTGAAAGTCATGTGACGCTGGCAAATCATCTCTAAGCTCTGCAATAACGTCTGTCTTGATTTTCTATTCTGCAGCTTTGTTTGAAGGTTTGGGTAAAGAATATACTGCTGTTCTTGCCATTTCCAAAGCAGTCTTTGGAAAAGCCATGTCTATCCCTTTATTATTTTTGGTCCCAAAAGGAGGATTCAAAATTGCTTGGACATTCCATTAGATAATGAGCACACATCACATTGAACCATGCCAGCGTGTGAATTCAGACTCTTCCACAATCCTATTAAATATTCCCGGTGCATCTGCATCTATGTCAAATCCAACATACAACCTGGCTTCTCACATTGCAGTTCCAAGGCTAAGCACTCCACAGCCACATCCTAGATCTGCAGACACTTTATTTCCACCTTCGCTATGCAGTTCTTTTTTTTCCCCCGTATGGATATACAGTACCACTTATCCAAAAGACTTCCCTTCCTCCATTGAATTGCTTTGGAACCTTTGATGAAAGACCATTTAACTGTGGGTCTATTTCTGTGCTCTTCATTCTGTCCCATAGACCATTTGTCTGTCCTTTCACCAGTACCACATTGTTTTGATTACTGGAGCTCTGTGATAAGTCTTAGATCAGGTAGAATTTTGATTTTAGAATTCTAATTTTGTTTAGATTCTTTGTATTTCTACATAACATTTTTTCATTTTTTTCTATTATAACTTTTAAAAATAGCTTTTTAATTTCTAGAAACAAAAGTCTGTGGGAATTTTGGCTAGAACTGTCTTTTTTTCATAGTCAGTTTGGAAGAGCTGATTTTTTAACAATATTGATTTTTCTAACATATGAATCTCGTATGTTTTTCCATTTATTTGGGTATTCCCAGTGCATCTGCAACAATGTTAGTTTCTCTCAGCAATGTTTTATCATTGGGCTCTAGAGCTCTTTTACATGTTTTGCTAAATATATTTCATGTTTTTAAAGCTAATATGAATAATATATATATATATTTTTTGAGATGGCATTTCCGTCTTGTTGCCCAGGCTAGAGGGCAATGGTACAATCTTGGCTCACCACAACCTCCACCTTCCAGGTTTAAGCGATTCTCCTGCCATAGCCTCCTGAATAGCTGGGATTACAGGCATGTGCCACCACCCCCGGCTAATTTTGTATTTTTAGTAGAGACAGGGTTTTTCCATGTTGGTCAGGCTGGTCTTGAACTCCTGACCTCAGGTGATCTTCCTGCCTTGGCCTCCCAAAGTGCTGGGATTACAGGCGTGAGCTACCGTGCCCAGCCTACAAATGGCATTTTTAAATGGTTGGCTGATAGTATATAAATGTTGACCTTGTAGCTTGTTAGGATTCATATCTCCAAATAAAAACAATGTTTCTTCCTTTCTAGTCTCCATGCTTTTAATCTCTTTCTTGCCTTGTTTCACTGGCTAAGACCTCCAATACAGTATTGACTAGAAATTGTGAGAATGGATATGCCTGTCTTGTTCCTGGTGTTAGGGGTGCAGCATTCAGTCTTTTATCATTTCCAGGACATGACCTGTAAGTTTTCTACACATGCCTTTTATCTGGTGATGGAAATTTTCTTTTCTTTTATTCTGAAGATTTTAATTATGAAAGAGTGTTTAATTATGTGAAATGCTTTATTGCATCTATTGAGATGATTGAATTGTTTTCTCCTTTATTCTGTTAATTTGATGAATTACATTGATGGATTTTTGTATGTTAAACCAATTTTCCATTTTTGGGACAAACTCAGTTGGTCACAAACAGTCATCATTTTTATGTATTGCTATATTTGATTTGCTAACATTTCATTAAGGAATTTTATGTCTATGTTTATGAGGAGTGTTGGCTTGTGGATTTCTTTTAATGTCCTTATCTGATTTTGGTGTCAGCTGCTTATGCTGGCCTCATAAAAAAGAAGTTGGGAAGTACTCCCCTTTCCTCTTTCTTTCCTGGAAGAGTTTGTGTACCATTAACATTATTTCTTACTTAAGCATTCCATAGACTAGAGAAGCCATCAGGGTCTGAAATTAATTTATGGGAGGTTTACAAATTGTGAATTCAGTTTCTTTGATGGTATAGGGCATATTAGTTTGCCAGGGCTGCCATAGCAAAATACCACAGAGTGGGTGGCTTAAACAGCAGACAATTATTTTCTCACAGTTCTGGAAAAGTACCACAGACTGCGGTGCCTAAACAACATAAATGTATTTCTCACAGTTCTGGAGGCTGGAAGTTCAAGATCAAGGTGTTGGCAGGGTTGGTTTCTTCTGAGGCCTCTCTCCTAGGCTTGCACCTGGCTGTCTTCTCCTTGTGTCCTCACATGGTCATTCTTTGGTCTGTGTTGCCCATGTCCTCATCTTCTTATAAGGACACCAGTCATACTGGATTAAGGCATACTCATGTGACCTATTTTACCTTAATTATCTCCATAAAGGCTCTGTCTCCAAATATAGCCACCCTCAGAGTTACTTAGGGATAGAATTTTAGCATATGAATTTTGAAGGGACATAATTTAGCCTGTAAGTTTTTCAGACTTTTGTGTGTAAGTTTGGTAAGTTGTGTCTTTTAAGGAATCTATTTAACCTTAAGCTGTTGGATTTATTGGCATAGATTGTTTGCAATATTCCATTATTAACCTTTTAATGTATCAAAGATCTATAGTGATGTTCCCTCTTTCATTCCTGATATGGATAATTTGTGTTTTTTATTTCTCTCCAAATGCAGGTTTTGTTAGCTATTGGTCGTGACTCCTGCACGAGGAAAATAGGCTTGGAGAAGATTGGTGTCAAAATTAATGAGAAGTAAGTATATTGGGATCATTGGACTGTTGCTACACAAAGCAACAGGTTTCTGCAGATTACCTCTAAGAAATATATATTTTAATTTATCTTATAATAGGTTCTGTGCCAGCTCTTTATAATCAATTTCTTCATCAGTGAGTAATTCTTGTTGCATGCCTTAAAAAGCTCATATATTAAACAACGACTTTAAGAAATAATTGCAGAGATATATTCATCTAATGTCTGTGATTTAGAGCATATCTTTATGACCTTGGTCAGGCAAAGAGATAAATTACAAAGCTCTAAGTGAGACGGTGGAGGCAGTCTGCAGATATCCCAGACATCCAGGAAATGTCCGTGGCTTCCCCAGAGATGTTTTCTTTTGGAGCTACAGAAACCCTTGTTACTTTAAGTCATTGATCTTATAGATAATTGATATCATGAGGTGCATGCGTTTTAAGAGAGGTCTTTTCTCTATGTATTTAGTCTTTTGGCTAATAGTATTAGTCAGCCAGCAGTGTTGAGTGAGTTGTAATCTGTTTTTTTCCCTTTTCAAAAACTACCAGAAGTGGAAAAATACCTGTAAATGATGTGGAACAGACCAATGTGCCATATGTCTATGCTGTTGGGGATATTTTGGAGGGTAAGCCAGAGCTCACTCCTGTCGCCATACAGTCAGGCAAGCTGCTAGCTCGGAGACTTTTTGGGGCCTCTTTAGAAAAGGTAAGTTTCTTACTGTTTTTGAGATAATATCTTGATCAAGATCATAATTTTAAAAACTAATGCAAGTAAAACTTCTGTGCTTGTTTTCCACGTAAAGGGTTCCTCAGGGGTATGATTTGCAGTAGACTATTTACTAATGGATTAAAATAAATACTTTTGAGCGTCCACTGTATACAAGATGTTGTGCTGGGTGATACACAAAGCACAGGCCATGGTTAGCCCCAGGGGCTTACCAGGTAGGTGGGGTCATGAGTCAGGCAGGCACAGACTGAGCAGAAAACAGAGTATGGTTGCGTGCCAGAGTGCTGTCAGCAGGTTGCTCTAGGGACACTGAAGGGGTTCATTCTAGCTGCAGGGAGGGAGAAAGCCTTCATAAGTAGACTGTTGCACTGTAATAACATGAGTCCCGATTCTGGTCCTGGCTTTAGTGCCCACTTGGGCTATAAATATGGTCAGGTTGTTTAACTTTTGAGGAACTTAGTTTCATCATCTGCAAAGCCAAGGATGTGAATCAGATGATTTCTACAGAGGATTTCCACTTTTCATATTTTTAAAGCAAATATTTGGGATGGGCTTTATAGGATGAGTAATTCAAAATTGAGGAAGCAAAGGACTTTTCAGGTGAGCAGTTAACTCAGCTAAGAACACAGCGACCTGTAGCACTTGGCTTGTGCTAAGGACTATGAGTAGTGTCCCAGGAGCTCTCAGCTGGGGAAGTACTGCTCAGCTCCATCAGGAGCTCTGTGGCCATGTGGTGGAGTTGGTGAGAGATGGGTGACTGGGGAAGGGCCCTGCCTGCTACATTAGTAGGTGGGGTCAGGAATGCTGAGTGTACCATCTCATGCAAAGAAAAATTGTCCCAAACATGGTGCATAGAGCATTTTAGCATGTGTGTAGGCAGAGTAGTTGGCGATAGGGGAGTACAATTGGGAAGGGGCTGGAAAACTAATATGGTGCCAGATCATCAAAAAATCTTTGCCACAAAAAGGAATTGGTAGCGCTTCTCTAGTCAGTAGGGATCTGGTGAGACCTTTATTTCCCCCAACTTTTTATTTAGAAAGGTGTCAAAACACAGAAACCGTAGTAAACAATTACCTGTATTGAACCTGTCACCCAGATTCTCCAGTTATTCATATTCTGCTGTTTTTGCTTTGTCTCTCCTTTTCTGAATATGTCTATGTGTAGTTCATATTCCTTTTTTCTTTTGCTGAGTTTTTTGCTGCCACTTTTTGAGGTGGCAGACATCAATGACATTTGTCCCTAAGCACTTCAGCATGTATCTCCTAAGTACAGGGATGTTTACCTCCATATAGTTCCATTGCCATATCTGAGAATTTCAACAAAAATACTATAATACTCATTTCCTAAGTTGTTCCTTAAGAGTGTGTGTGTGTGTGTGTGTGTGTGTGTTTTGATTTGCACAGTACATTTGGCTCTTATGATGCTTAAGTCTCTTAATCTGATACAGTCCCCCTGCCTTTGTTTATTTTTTATGACACTGACTTTTTTCCTTTTATTTTTAGTTGACATATAATGTTTGTACATATTTATGGGATACAGAGTGATATTTTGATATACTTATACAACATGTAATGATCAAATCAGGGTAGTTAGCATATCTATTACCTCAAACGTGTCATTTATTTGTGTGGGAACATTCTGTTATATCCTCTCTTCTAGCTTTTTGGAAATATGCAATGAATTCTTGTTAATTATGTGTACCCTACAGTGCTATAAAGCACTAGGACTTAACTCCTGTTTAGCTGTAATTTTGTGTCCATTAACCAACCTCTCCCCATTCTCCCCTTTACCCTGCCCTTCTTAGCCTCTAATAAGCACAATTCTATTTTCTACTTCTATAAGATCAACTTTTTTAGCTCCCACATATGAGTGAGAACATGCAGTATTTGTCTGTCTGTGCCCAGCTTATTTCACTTAATATAATGTCTTCCAGGCTCATTCATGTTGCTCTGAACGGTTGGATTTCATTCTTCTTTATGGCTGCATAGTATTTCATTGTGTTTATATATTATGTTTTCTTTACCCATTCATCCACTATGGATGCTTAGGTTGGCTCCATTTTTTCCTATTTTGAATAGTGCTGCAATATATGGGTGTGCAGATATCTTTTTGATACACTGATTCTTTCCTTTGGATAAATACTCAGTACTGGGATTGCTGGATCATATGGTGGTTCTATTTTTAGTTTTGGAGACCCTCCATCCATACTGTTGTTCCATAGTGGCTATGCTGGCTTCCATTCTCACTAACAGTGTGTAGGAGTTCCCCTTTTTCCACATCCTCACCAGCATTTGTTATTTTTTGTCTTTTTGATAATAGCCATTCTGACCAGGTTATGGTATCTCATTGTGGCTTTGATTTGCATTTTCCTGATGATCAGTGATACTGAGCATTTTTTCATATACTTGTCCATGTGTATATCTTGTGAAAAACATCTATTCAGATCCTTTGCCCATTTTTAAATCAGGGTATTCTTTTTTTTTTCTCTGAGTTGTTTGAGTTCCTTATATAGGGATATTAGTAACTTCTCGAATAGATAGTTTACAAATATTTTCTCCCATTTTACAGGTTGTCTCTACTCTGTTGATTGCTTTCTTTGCTGATTGCAGAAGCTTTTTAGTTTAATACAGTCTCATTTGTCTGTTTTCATTTTGTTGCCTGTGTTTTTGAGGTCTTGCCTATAAAGTCTTTGCCTAGAACAATGCCCAGAAGCATTCCTCCTATTTTCTTCCAGTAGTTTTATAATCTAAGACCTTATATTTAAGTCTTTAATTCACTTTGAATTGATTTTTTCACGTGGTGAGATATAGAGGTCCAGTTTCATTCTTCTACATATACTGTTTTCCCACCACCATTTACTGAAGAGAGTGTCCTTTCTCCAGTTTATGTTCTTGGTGCCTTTGTCAAAAATTAGTTGGCTGTAAATATGTGGTTTTATTTCTGGGTTCTGGGTTCTGTTCTATAGTCTATGTGTCTGTTTTCATATTAATATCATGCTGTTTTGGGTACTATAACTTGTAGTATATTTTAAAATCAGGTAGTATGATGCCTCCAGCTTGATTCTTTTTGTTCAGTATTTTGGCTATTCAGCATCTTTTGTGGTTTCATACAAATTTTAATATTGTTTTTTCTATGACTGTGGAGAATGTCATTGTTATTTTAATAGAGATTGCATTGAATCTGTAGATTGCTTTGGGAAGTATAGTCATTATAACAATATTAATTCTTCTAGTCCATGAGCATGGGATATCTTTCTATATTTTTGTGTCTTCTTCACTTTTTTTCACAAGTGTTTTGCAGTTTTCATTGTAAAGTGGTTCAACCTACTTGATTACATTTATTCCTAAATATTTTATTTTTTGTAGCTATTGTAAATGAAATTGCTTTATTGATTTCTTTTTCCATTAATTTGTTATTGGTATATAGAAACGCTACTGATTTTTGTTTGTTGATTTTTGTATCCTGCAACTTTACTGAGTTTGTTTATCAGTTCTAAAACTTTTTGGTGGAATCTCATCGGTTTTTCTACATATGAAATCACATTGTCTGCAAAGAGGGACAATTTTACTTCCTGTTTTCCCTGTTTGGATGCCCTTTATTTCTTCTTATCCTGACTACTCTGGCTAGGACTTCTAGTATTGTGTTGAATAAGAGTGGTGAAAGTGAGCATCTTTGTCTTGCTCCAGTTCTTAACACTGACTTTTTGATGAATCCAGGTTTTTTTTTTTTTTGGTGTAATGTCTCACATTGTGAATTTCTCCAATTGTTTTTGCATGAGTGTGTTGAGATGAAGAGCTTTGGGCACGGATTCTTCATGAGGAATGCTATGTGCTGCTTTGCTTTATCCCCCAGGTACCTGCCGAGTCCTTGCATGGAGACCTTGTGGGCGGGTGCATTTGGTGCATGAGGGGCGACTGGGGAGGGGGCTCTGCTGGCATTAATGGGTGGAGGCCAGGAATGCTAAATGTGCAAGGACTTATCTCAAGTGCAAATAGCATTTTCGGGTCTATGTTGGCTGAGCAGTTGCCTGATACTGTAAGAAGTTAATCGTGGTGTCTGTGAGGAGGAGGGATTAGAATATGGAATAATATATATGGAGCATAAAGCGATGAAAGGCACAGGATCAAAAGGAAGCCTATGGGAAGGGTAGCATGAGTCAAGTCCAGGTAGAAGAGATGGTCTAAGATGTGGAGAAGGGTTTTAGGAGAAAGGGGCAAAGTTGAGCCATTTCTGTTTATTTTTTCTTAATTGATATGAAACAGGAAACAAAGACTTCTGTTAAGAATGAGGACTCCCATGTAAGATATGGAATCTGGGGTCAGCTGCCAGTCAATAAATGGATTGGCAACATGTGAGTGCCTCACAGAAGTCAGAAAATACCCAGGCGGTTCACATAGTTGTGTGATTTTCTCAGCCATGCTGGGAAAAGAAAATAAATGCTTGGCTCACCCATCATTTGCTGGTAGGCAAACATGAAGTGGCGTGAGAGCATAGGAATCTAGGCTAATGGAGAACTTGCCTATGTTGTATGTAAATCCTCTCATTGATTTGGCGGATACCTGGTGGCGTTTTATTTTTCTTTGGGGTAACAATGAATAGAAGCTCACTCAAACTAGACAAATTGAGAGAAGTTACTGTGAGAATCCTGGGATTAACAGGTAGAGTCACAGAGGAACCTAGAAAAAGAACCCTACTAGGGCTGGGCCTGCCTGCATTTGGAGATAGAGTCCCAGCTGCTCTGGGGCCCAGCAGCATAGTGGGGTGTTTGTACAGATGTGCTCCTCCTTGGCCTAACTTGGTGACAACTTTGCAGGTCCATTTCTTCCTATTCCTCTACCACCTGGAAAATTCTCTTTGCTTCTAGTTAATTTTCCTACATAAGAAAGAATTGGATTGACTCAGTTCACCTTTTTCTGCCATTCCGTAGATTTCTGCCTAGCTTATGTATTGGTATTTGTGGGGTCAGATGGCTATCCCTAGTCTAATCACTTGTGGCCATTGGCAGGGGTTGGGGAACATACAGTGCTATGGGTGGTAGTGTCCTTTGAAGGGGCTGTGCCTGGGCAGGCACCTCTGCCACCTACACACAGCTTTCTCTCCATGCACATGGTTTCATGGTTCAACCAACAAAGTATTCCAGCTCCTTTCCACACAGCCAGAGAGGCCCTCTTGTCTCCCAAGTTGGGGCCTCTCCTAGGCAGGAGTGCCACCTGTGAACCTTGCTTCTCTGCGGGGCTGCTGGGGCTCTGCTTTTCAGCTTCAGAGTCTTCTTGTGCACAGTCTTCTTGTGATGTCCATTCTTCTCTGACTCAGTCTGATAAAGGCTCTGGAGATGGTTCTGTCTTAAACCCTGGACTGCAGAGATGACCTATGGTCATCCTTGTCCCTGTGGTATATTAGCACTCCCCCAGACATATTTACACAGTCACATGTGCCATCCCCCTTTGATAGTCAAGAACACCCAGTTCAGCACCGTTGAGCTGCATACTTGCCTTGCCTCTCAGTGGCATAAGGAATATGAAATGGCCAAGAGGTAGTCTTAGTTTCCAGTGAAGTTGCATAATTCAAGGTTGCCTGGAAGAAGTGCTCCAAGAGAGCAGAGCCCAGAATCATGGGCATGGAAAGAAAACATTTTGGAGAGTGTCTTTAGGGGCAGTTGGGTGGCACCACCTCCACCTTTACCTTTGGGTTTTTGGACCTCTGAGTCTGTGCTCCAGGACAGCCGATCCCATCTGTTGGTGGCTGGCCAGTGTGTGGTCTCTGCCCCTGAGTCAGGGTCCCATCCCAGGTCTCTGTTAATGTACCTTACAATTTTCCTGAAGCTGTTAGCATTTTAAGCATTAGTTACACTGAACTGGACTCATTTATTTTCTTTTTATAAATATATGTAATGTAGATTTTTGCTATAAAGTATCACAAAATAAGATTATGTAATTTATTTGTTTTTCAGTGTGATTATATTAATGTTCCAACTACAGTGTTTACTCCTCTGGAGTATGGTTGCTGTGGATTATCTGAAGAGAAGGCTATTGAAGTATATAAAAAAGAGAATCTAGAAGTAAGATTATGTTTTATTACTTCCTTAAAAAATTCTTTTTTAATCAACAATTTGTCTTTGAAGTCACTTTTTATTTCGTCATTTTGCAAGTTACTATGATGGCTATATTGTGGGAAATCATATTCCTATTTTAGGAAAATTAGCAATTAATTTAAACCCTGTCTGTCTAGCAAACAAGAAGAATATGGTTGAGAACGAGGGAAGTACAATCTATAAGTCAGGACATTTGAATTACAAGTAAAAAAAATCTATTTGAGCCAACTTATACAAGGAAGCTCAAAGTTATTTTAAGATCTTTTGGGAATACAGGGGTAGGAATGTACCAAGGCCTAGTGGCCAGTCCCATCCCATCAGCATGGCTCTGGGTAGTCAGGTGTGAAGTTCCAGGGTTGTCTGCCTGTGGGCTCTTCACATTCCCAAAAGGACATCCTCTACACCCCTCTGTGGCTACCTCTCCTTTACCCCCTAACCCCATCCAATTATAACCTTAAAAATATTTTCTTACATCATATTTTGCTGGGAAGTTTCATTGGCTTTTTTCTGCCCATTTCCCAATGTAGGAGGGAGAGGGGGAGATGAAAAGAGTTGGAGGGTTATTAATACTTGATATTTTAAGTAAAAGAGAATTGAAATTACAGTCCTTTCCCTTTTAAGCCATTTTAATTGTATGATTTAATTTATTATTGGGAATTTCTTTAAATCATAGAATTGATATTCCCTAGTTAAATACCTTAAGGATTTATGAAACTCCTATTTAAATTTCTGGTGCTGGGAAAATGTGTGATTAAAACTTTATAACGTTATTTTAGATGGTTGTTTTTGAAATTTATGTTTTAGAGTACGTTATTTTATCAGGGTTTATAATGAACTCAATATAATAATAAGCTATGCTGTTTGCATTGGTCAGCTTTTGGGTCTTAGAAAATTGATAATAATCATGGATTTAACGTTTAGTTTTAAAACTTTTTGAAATTAATGAAAAATTAAGGTAGAAAGATGTCAGGCACATGACAGGAAGGATGTAGAAGGCTGTTCCCCTGACAATGGAGTATCTTTCTAGGAAATAAATTCCCCAAGTTTTTTGGGATTGCTGTAAGGTCTTTTCCCCAAGGTTTGCTGTAGATCAACTCACCTGATTTATTTTTTGACAGGAATGAAAATGTGATGTTAGTATTTTTTTAAAGTTTTTATCATAGAGAAACAAATACATTGTACAACTATAAAAATATTTTCTTTCTTTATATCCTTATTCTATAAGCTTTTTCTATTAACTTTTTTTACTTGTTTATAAAAAATGAAGACACAAACACACACATTAGCCTATGCCTACACAAGGTCAGAAACATCAATAACACTGTCTTCTCCCACCACATCCTGTCCCAGGGCAGTAACACACAGGGAACTGTCACCTCCTATGATGACAATGCGTTCTTCTGGATACCTCCTGAAGGACCTGCCTGAGGCAGTTTCACAGTTAATTTATAAGTTGAGGGAGTACACTCTAAAATAATAATAGAATGTATAGTATAATAAATACATAAATCAGTATCATAGTCATATTACATTTATTATCCTTATCAAGTATTCTATACAGTACATGATTATATGTGCTAGGCTGTTAGGGACTGGCAGTGCAGTAGGTTTATTTACTCCAGAATCACCACAAACAGTGAGTAATGTGTTGCTTGCTCCATTGTGTTACAATGGCTACAATGTTACTAGGTGGCAGGAATTTTTCAGCTCCATTTTAATGTTGTGGGACCACAGTTGTATATGCTGTTGTTGTAGACCAGCATTGTTTTGCAACACATGCAATGCATGAGTAGAGATGGGAGAAAGTGTGAGTGCATTTAGGTCTGTGATCTATTTTGAGTTAATGTTTGTCTGTGTTGTGAGCTAAGGGTGCAGCTTCATCCTTTGCTTGTAGCTTTCAAGTCGTCCATGAATAGCTTTTACGTAGTAAAGGAAACACTGGTAATTATGATAGCTAGGAGTATAACTGTATTGGGAAGATGGTGATTGGGGAGGACAGGAAGGAGCTAGAGTGAGTGCTAGGGGCCAGAGAAGAGAGCTTATCTTGCTCTTGCATAGAGCCAAGTCAATAAATAAAGCCTGAAATAGAAAAGGCAGGCAGTAGCAAATAAACATGTTCTTTAGAAACATAGAGTTAAATATCCAAACAATTAAATAAAAGAGGTGAAAGTCGTGGCCTCTGGGTTCATTGAAATGGGTGGGGTCAGAGATCACTGTTTTCCATAGCAGAGCTTGGAATATTATGTCTGTAATTGTGTGTAAGTTGATAAAAAAAAACTTCAAGAGTAATGAGGGGAGCCCTAATTAGATATGAAACTTGATCACATGGCTGCAGTACTTACAGTGGCACACAGATGGACAGCAAGATCAGTAGAACAGAATGTGAAACCCAGAAATGGATTCAAATGCTCATAAGAATTAGCATATGATACAGGCCATATTTTAAAACCATGGGAAAGCACAGGCCATCAATTAAAGGGTGCTGGAATAAGTGGATAGCTATTAAGTAAAAATATAAAGTTGGAAGTTGGATCCATACTTCACACCCACTTTGAACCAGAGGGTTAGAAACTTAAATATAGTAAAATCTTCAAAGTGCTAGAAGGAAAAAAGCACATTTGACAAAACCAGTGAAAGAGTGAAAGGAGGGTGGAGGAAGTGTGAGTGTTCACCTCCTTCATTTGTAGCAGAAGTGATAGAACGCATCAGAAATAGTAGCTTGCTGTTTTAGGAATCATGCTTAAAACCTGGTAAGAGTTTCTACCATCTCTTTTTAACCTTAGGGGTGTATTTTTAGAAAAGTGTATCTTGAGATAAAGAAACATTCCTGTTTCTGATAGCTGCAGTGATTAAAAAGTTTGTATTAAAATAGGTACAAGTGGTGGGGATGGTAGCTCATACCTGTAATCCCAGCATTTTGGGAGGCTGAGGCAAGTGGATCACTTGAGCTCAAGAGTTCCAGACCAGCCTGGGCAACATGGCGATATCCAGTCTCTACAAAAAATACAAAAATTAGCCGGACATGGAGATGCACATATATAGTCCCAGCTACTTGGGGACTAAGGCAGGAGGATCGCTGTAACCTGGGCAGTCAAGGCTGCAGTGAGCCATGATTGCACCACTGTACTCCAGCCTGGGTGACAAAGTGAGACCCTGTCTCAAAAAAGAAAAAAAGGGTACAAGAATTTCTTTCTCTTCTGTTAAAAACAAGTCTTTTTTTTTTTTTTGCTACAAATAACTGTATATGTTACCTCCTTCATAAAAATTTTGTTTTAACTCTGCATGCACCAGCAATTGATGCTTTTCCCTAACATTTAAAATGGTTATTTCTGGGTGGTATTTTTAAATTTAAATCCATCCATTGTGGACTACATTTCCAATTCTGTCTCCCATCGTTAACTGCCCGTTTGTGTATGGAGTGATTTAGAGGTGCAAGACTGGGAGACCACAGCCACCCAGAGCTGGAGAGGGGGAACATGGCATTTTGTTCTGGTTCTTAGAAGACTGAGCCAGATTTAAGAGGCATAGAGGTACACTCATGGCACTGGCATGAGGGCTTGGGGACAGAAATGAGAGACATGATCCCTGCTCTCCCATCGCTAGGTTCTGGAGCTCTAAATGGCTGGAGCTATTTTACTTCCCCCTCCTCATATTTGCTGGAATGTGAGCCCTGTTATCAGGGTCAGCTGTTTACATCAGAATCTCAGCCTTCACCTCTACTAAATTTTGTATGCAGATTTTTGTTTGGACTAACAGCCAAGCATGCAAAACAAAGGTCAACACATGTATGCAGCTGGCATTTCAGGAGCCTTGGCCTAGGTGCCCAACAGATACGTAAAGGTAGGGTTGCTGAACTTTAAATTTCTGAAAGCTGCTGTGGAGATTATTGCCTTTATAGAATTAAAGAGCCTATCAAGGTATGGTTTCCATATACATTAATCCTGCCCTTTTTCTCTCTCTTATCTTCCAGATATATCATACTTTGTTCTGGCCTCTTGAATGGACAGTAGCTGGCAGAGAGAACAACACTTGTTACGCAAAGATAATCTGCAATAAATTCGACCATGTATGTAATGCTACTAGAAGCCACAATGCTGTGATTTTTAAATGTAGCGTTTATTTTTAGTATTTCGATTTATATACATATAAATTATATATATAAATCCAAATATTAAAAATAAATGTTTATATATAAATATATCTATTTTGTGTGTGTGTGCGTGTGTGTGTGTGTGTGTGTGTGTGTGTGTGTGTGTGGAGATGGGATCTTGCCATGTTGCCCAGGCTGATCTCCAACTCCTGGCCTCAAGTGATCCTCTTGCTTCAGCCCCCTGAGCAACTGGGACTGCTGCATTTTTATAATCTTTCTAAAGATAGTTTTCAGGACAATGCAGAGTGCCTCCATGTTATCATCTAGTTAACATGTCACAGAGGCTAAGCAGTGATGGTTTGTAATTGAGCCTTACCAGTGTCCTCTCAAAATATACCACTGAAAGCTGCCTCTTACCAGGGCCATCTTGATAGCTTGATAGTTTAGAACTAGAAGATCTGTGAAAATATTGGTCATCCAATAACAAATTGTAAGTTGTATGTGTGCGTTTTATAAGCAGACTGAATGTGTGTCTAAAGTCTTTAGATGGACATGTTCACACAAAGTGAAACTCGCCGTACTGAGCTAATTGCTGCTGCTTTCACTAAAGCCACAGCCTATCGTCAGAGGCTTTCCTCCTCCTGGTTACGAGGGGTGAGCATCAAAATGGCTCACAGCCTTCCTCAGTAGTGTAGTTGAAAGCACAGCTTATTTATACTTTGCTTTATTAAGAAGTCTGAATGTAGAAAGCAGTGTTCAGACTTGGTTCTTCTCTTGAAGAGTTTATCATCTGTCTGGGGAGATGAAACATAAAAATAGATAAATGTGAACAGCAACAAGTGGCATTTACATAAAACTTTACTGAACAGCAGTCATGATCTTGTTTAATTCCCACATCTCTGTATTTGTCTTATTCTCAGTATAACAGAAAACAGGGTGTCCCAGGCTAGTAGCCCATTAGCGTGTGCTCTGTTGCCTGAATGGTGAAGCCATCCAGAGCTCTAGGGCTTAGTCCCTTAGTAGTTGCACATGGGCTAAAGGGCAGTGACAGGGATGGTGGTCATAATAACCCTGAAATGCTCCAGGTTGGGCAGGTTTGCAGCTGTGCCCTCGAGGGTGGGTGCTCATGTGCTGGACTACATCCTGTTTCTTTGGGGCAGAGTTATCTGAGGTCAATTTATGGCAGTTTGGGCAGCCTTTCCAAAGGGAGCAGAAAAAGACTGTATATAGTGTTACCCTCTGAAAGTGAGAGGGTGGGCTTTGATGGGAGAGCCACAACTGAAGCAGGAGTTGCAGCTGTCATGCTAGTTCTGACCTCCTCATGGGGTTGTGGGCCGCACCTCTGTGGCTGTCAGCCCCGTTTCCCATCGCTGAGCCCCTCTGCGCTATCCCACACTACCCCTCTGGACCCCTCCCCAGGTCCCCAGGCCACACTCTTGGCCTTGCTCTCTAACCATGGGGAAGGTGCCCCTTCCCTTTACCCTGGCCACATGCCTGTTTCTTGAGTAGCACCCTCAAACTTACAAAATGGAAATGCTAGACTCTGGTTCTAGGGTCAGTATTGTGAATGAGACTTCCTTTACTCAGAACCTTCATTTTCAGTTATCAGTGGAAATTCTCACCAAGTGTCCTTACTTTGCTCTGAGCTGCCCTCCTTTTCTGCTTGCTAAGCAACGCAACACCTCAGGTTTCAATGCATTAGTCTTCTGTGGGCCCTGGGAACTCACTCAGAAGCCCCAGCCCAGGCAGCCTCTGCTTGCCTCCTCTCTGGAGTGCCCGACAGCAGATGCAGATGAGTGTGGCTGCTCTGAGCTCTTCCTCCTCCAGAAGCTCAGTGGACAAGGATTTTTCCTGACCCTGGCCTCCATTGCTCTTTTGTAGTGTTTCTGTTCATCTCTTGTATGCTTTTACTGTTGAATATCACAATGAAGGATAGTCTGAGGAAGGAACATTGACAAATGGACAGCCTAGAATGCACTATTACCGTGGAAAGCGACTGCACATCTTTGCTTCCCATCTTGGTGGGTCTGCTCATTGCCTGCACCCTGTATCTCTCAGCACAGTCCTGGGTGACAGCCCTACACCAGCCTCTCCTTTGTCTCCACGTGATGTTGGGAGTAGGGTGCCTTGCTTCCTGGGCCAGCAACCTCTGATTTCCAGTAAAACCTGCTGCCTTTGGGTTATTCCAGTGTTGGACTTTAATTCAGATTTGTTATGTTGTTGTTGAGCATTGTCTCAGCATAATTTGGAAATTTACATCATACTAATGAACTCCATGCAGTGGGTAAATTGCTTGTTCTAGTAAATTTGAGTGCAAATTAACTCTGGATGTGCATTTACTGGCTCATTTAACAGATTCTTATAGTGGCTCACAGTTTCATGGTAATATTCTCTGCTTACTTGACGTTGAAGTTCTTTTTCTGTAGTAGATGCTGTGTATTTTAACTGTGAACTTGCAGGGAGTGGACTCGTATTCAGACCATTAACCTACTGGGATTCTCTTTGTTTTGTTTCTGTATTAAAGAATCGGGTGATAGGGTTTCATATTCTTGGACCAAATGCCGGTGAGGTTACCCAAGGATTTGCAGCTGCAATGAAATGCGGGCTCACAAAACAGCTACTTGATGACACCATTGGAATTCACCCCACATGTGGGGAGGTAGGAAACAAGATGTTTTCAAAACTATATATAGTTTGAAAAACTATTATAAAGCACTTTTCAGAAAGACGTCATATTAGTAACTGATTTGTATATTTTATTTTTAATTTACTTTATTTTACTTTTTTGAGACAGGGTTTCACTCTGTTACCCAGGCTGGAGTGCAGTGGTATGATTTTGGCTCACTGCAGCCTCCACCTCCCGGGTTCAAGTGATTCTCCTGCCTCTGCCTCCTGAGAAGCTGGGACTGCAGGTATGCACCACCATGCCTGCCTAATTTTTATATTTTTAGTAGAGACGGGGTTTCACCATGTTGGCCAGGCTAGTCTCAAACTCCTGACCTCAAGTGATCTGCCTATCTTGGCCTCTCAAAGTGATGGGATTATAGGCATGAGCCACTGTGTCTAGCCAGATTTGTATATTTTAAAGAATAGCATAAATGTAATATTCAGAATGTGTTTTCTTAAAGCAGTGCTAACTTCTAAATATGCATTTGTTTTCTTCCTCTTGAACAGGTGTTCATGACTTTGGAAATCACAAAATCCTCAGGACTAGACATCACTCAGAAAGGCTGCTGAGGCTAGGCCTGCTGCTGTTTAGTTTTCTTTGTCATATTCTCATTTCTCTCCAAGATAAAAATGTTCTCAGATAAAATGAGCCTGTGCTCATGACAGCTGCTCTGTTACTCAGGGACCAGTACAGGGCTCTCTTATGACACTGAGATGAGAAAGTAGACAAGGAGACAGGACAGCAGCAGGCATCTATCTGCCTTGTGGTCTCGCTGACTGCGAGAAGCAGTGGGACTGCTTCCTTGACGCCTTAGCTCGAAGCCCTGTTACGAGGTGAGCCAAGGCTGATTCTCGCAAGCGAGGACTGAGCTTTCCTCGGAAAGACCTTTGAGTGGCACCATTCACCTAAATTAGCTTTTCTGATCGCCAGTTATCCCCTTTGCTTTGTTGTTTCTATGAAAATATATTTTCAGTTATGAAACTCCATAAAGTGGTGGTTTTCTAGCATGTGGGCCTAGAAGTCATACATGCTCGCTGGTGAACAGTGTCTGTGGGCTGCATTTGGGTAGCTGTCTTTAGAGGACCATGTGCGTTAGCAGGAAGCTGTACACATTGTATAGGGTTAGTCATCTCTTTTCTTTTTTGAGTCACATTTAACCTACTGTCAAAACCCTGACTCATGCTTCACCCTCACACTTATTACTTGGTGGTGATAACCTTGAAGCTATTCTCCCCTAATTAATATCTCTACACTGAGCAAAATATCTCATGTAAGAAAAAAATACTTTAATTTCTCTTTCACATTGATCTTAATAATATTTCCAAAAGTTTTTAATACTATATTATGTGAAATCTAATTTAAAACTGTGAAATAATTCCATCACAGCCTATTTAATAATGGTCAAGTTCCATAAATGATTATAATATTAAGTGGTTGCATTGGAATTTACAAACATGTCAGCATCTCAGAGATCCTTGAAGATGGAAGCCTATCCAAGGTACTTATGGAAAACCTCTATTTTCTTGATTATGCAACACAGGTAGCCAATGCAAGACTCTTTTAGGCCACTCGTTCTTAGGAGCCACACTAGCTGTTTAGCTTAAAATTGGATAGGCTGGAGTCGGAATTTCTAGCCATTTGTCTTAAAAGACAAATTAAGCCAACAGTTAGGGACACTGTTTGTAGACAGGCATTTTGCTAAACTCTCTGGAGGCAGGGAGTGGAGCAGTGGGGGAGTGGGGGAGTGGGGCTGGGAACCCAGAGAAAACTAATGTAGGACCTAGTTATGGGAATGGCTTTTTTATTTGGGAGAAAAAAATACAATGTGTCTAAAAGGTAAGGTATGGTGTGGTAATTGCTGGCAGAAACAGTGCAGCAGGAAGTAGAGGGAGATGTTATTAATTTCTATTGGCTGTGGGGCAGGGGTAGGGTAATTGAACAGAGTTTATTGAAAGTAGCCATATTTGAGCTGAATTGCAGTGCATAAAAGGATTTTAAAGATTAGAAGCAATGTGGAGAGGGTGTGAATAATGCTTTCAACATATTTGATTTAAATACTTGATGTGATAAATTTTTAATAATTTTGTGACTGTATTGCTTAGTGCCACACACACACACAGCCAGCTTTTTCAGAATTCCAAATGAAGCAAAACCAAGAATGCTGGAAGCCCTCAGCTGCTACTTTGCTCTGAGAATGGGGCAAAGAAATGAAATCTTAGGCTTGCACAGATGGCATTTCTAATAGGAAACCTTTGTGTAAAGCTGGAAGCCCAATGGGCTATACCCCAGTGGAAACTTGAATGGAAGACAGACTGCCTCACAGAGAGAGGCATCGGAGAAGCCTTGTCTTCTCACTGATGTGGAGGGAAGGAAGCAATTCATCTTAAGCATTTGTAACCACTGTCCAGGTGACAGACCATTGGAATGGCTAATTATCTTTCTTTCCCAAGGAAGGGAGGATGCTTACAAACCTATCTGTGTTGGCCTCCTCTCACCCTTTTATTTTCCTCTCTTTTTGTCTCTTCCTCTTCTACTGTTTTCCTCTCCTGGCATAAATATGGTATCTATATATTGGTGAGAGAAATTTTACCTGGAAGATAAAACTAGTATGCGTCTAATAACATAAAAATGTGTATAGATCTGCAAGGAAAAACTGATACCCTCCATTATACATATTTCAGTAATTTATTAGGTCAAACACACAAAAAAATCAATAAAGGTATATTTTTGAGTAGCAGAATTAACAATGAGTATGAAAACATACTCATTTCAAGCATGCATGGAATATTTATGGAGTTTTCCTTGCGCTAGGCCATAAAGGCTAGGCTTAAGAAATTTCAAAAGGCTAGTATCATATAGGCATGGGCAAGAGGATTTCAACTGTGGGACTAACTAGGAACCCAGACCATAAACTCCTATAGCATGATGGAAAGTAGAGGGAGGAGTTGGTGTGAGGGAAGTGAGAGGTTAGTGGGAGAATAAGCTGAAGAGTTGGTAGAACCAGGAGCTACTTCACAGGAAGCAGGGAGTTATAGGAAGATCCTATAGGCCTTGAAGAATGATAAACTTGGGAACACCTGGTCTCTTGACATACTAGAGGTGTGATAGAATAAATGCTTAACTTTTTCTGTTCTTCATGTATTAAGTATGGACAGTATTGCCTGTCTCACAGACCTAATAAGAATTGAGCAACATTTATTAAGTTGTTAATGTAGCACACCGGGTGGAGAATCTTGGCTTCTGTGATGATAACTAGGGTCCCATTAAGGAAATCTCTTGCAGACACTCAACAGTACAGCCAGTAGGCAGGCAGACAGGAGGAAGGTGGATAAATTGCTGCTCTTGCAGACTCCCTATGGAAGGCAACCTCCCAGTTGGCTCCCAGGTTAGACCTCTATCAATGGGAAATCACACCTTTGTGTAGTCCCTACCTTGTTACACCAGGGGTGGTCTGTGTGGCCAGTAGCATATGGCAGGAGTGATGGTAAGACTCTGCCAAGATTAGGTCATGAAGAGATTGCAGTTTAAGTTTTGGTCACCCTCATGCACTCACTCAGGTCACTTGTTTTGGGAGAAGGTAGCTGTCAGGTTTTGATGACACTCAGGATACCCATGGAGAAGTCCATATGGTGAAGAACTGAAATCTTTAACCAACAGTCAGCAAGAAACTGAGGTCTGCCAATGTCCGCATGAATGAGCTTGGAATGAATATTATTCCAGCCAAGCCATCCCTGGGCCTGCAGCTTGACAGTAACCTTTTGAGAGACTTTGAACCAGAACCATTCAGTTGGCCACTCCAGATTGCTGACCCTTAGAAACCATGAAAGAATAAATATTTGCAATTTAAGCTGCTAATTTTCAGAGTAATTTGTTCCATAACAATATATATAGCTAATATATTCACCAAGGAAAACTAAAACCTGTACAGATCTAATCAGGTAAATAAAATGTCTTGGGGGACTTTCTTCCAAGGGCAGATGAGAGAAACCTCATATGGATTCTAAAATTCAGCGAAAAAAAAAAAAAGTGAGGGGATTAGAGCACAGACTTAACACTGAGCTTACTTCATAATTGCAAACAAGGAAACCCCAAGCAGGGAAGTCCATGGGATCTACTGGAGTGCCCTCTGAGTTGGCGGTCCTGAGCTGTGGCTGTGACAGGTTCCTGCTAAACTTCCTTAAAGCATCTTTGTCAAAGCTTGCAGCAAAGATTACTAGGTAAACTTTTTCATCAAACAAAGCTGTGTTTATTAAGCTTAGCAAGGAAGAGCTTGACCTTGACAGAGTCAAGACTCCGTATCATTGCAAATGGGAGTTAGGAAAGGGTACCTAGTGAGGTTAGGGTTAGTCAGAGGGTAGTTATAACACAGAGATTAGTAAGTGGGTCTTGGCAGCAGTTGGTCAGAATTTGAAAACTAGTTGCTGGAATGTTGCCTCAGTCTTATTTTTAGAATTGGGGGTATATGAGGCCATAATGAGTTTCTGTTACTGTAGTCTTGAAACGTGGATCTGAATGAGCTAGTGTTAAAAGATTTTGAACTTAATTTATTGTACAACATGGTTTGGCATGCTTCATCTGTATTTGTGTAATAGTATACTTGTTAAGTTGTTGATTTTATTTTCCAGTGGAGAACCATCCGGTGCTTCTAAGCAGGGAATGACAATGAAACCTGTTAGGCTTTTATTGCAAAAGATTATTAAATATTTATTGACACTCATTTCCAGCCATACTGGAATTACAGTGACTATACTCATTTTTCCTCCATAAGCAAACTGGAGGAGATATGAAATTACTGCACCCAGACATGGAACAACAAACTGCAAGACTGTGATCCCAGAGAGAAGGGAAATGAATGAGGTGATCCCTATGGTTGCCTCAACTTTCTGCATGAAACAAAGGGAGAACCCAGACAGCCTGATGGCCTTCAAGAGTTATGGTGGACATTAGAGTTTAGGGAGGTTCAGACAGCTGAAAGTCGTAGGCGGGACACAGGTGGGAGCTGTGGAGAAAAGAGCTCCAGAAATCTGCCACAAAAGGGTCCCCTTGAGTCTTTGCTGAGGACTTAACCACACATCCTTAGAATGAAGTTCTAGAAGGTTGGTCAAAAAGTGACAGGAAGTTGTAAGTTGAATAATTATTGGAGGTCTCAGAAAGTCTAGAAAAGTTCAAGCTCTGACCACCACAGAGGATTCTTCAGTGATCCCTCCAGGCATTTTGTGGAGACCTCATAAGGGGTTATGTCTTAATAGTAGGGTTTTTCTGTAGTGAAGGCTATCTGTCCTAGATAAAATTGAAAAATAGGACTTGATGGAACCAAAATGATTCAAAAGTAATGACCTGCAAGAAAAAGCCTAACACTCTTTAAAAGAAGACAGCAAAACATTCAACAATATGACACCCATAATGTCCAATATTTGGTTAAAAAAATTAACACACATACTAAGAAGCAGAAAAATGTGACCCATAGCCAGAAGAAAAATCAGTGAGTAGAAACAGACCTAGAAGTGACAGATATGATGAGATGAACAAGGATGTTAAAGCCATTATTAAAACAATGTACAAATATTTAAATGGAAACATAAACATAATGAGAGAAATGGAAGATGTTAAAAAGAACCAAATCAAACTTGCTGAGATGAAAAATTACAATCTCTTTCAGGGGGCCTCATGAGGCATTAGGTAGTTTAGTACTTGGCTGAAAGGACTCATAACTCAACATAAAGTTATACTCATGCCTGTGTATTATTACAGCAATGAGTCAAGTGGAGGAACAGCAAAAACAACCACAAAACAGCAGGCAATGGTTAAGTCACACACAGACTTCTAAGACCTCCATGTCTCTTTGAAAGGCATACAGGTGTGGTTTTCTCTCTAGCTGTGAACTAAAAAACACATGTGATATATCTCCACCCAGGGAAGCTCACTCAAGTCCTGGAGTTCAGAGTTCTGGATTGGTCACATAGCTATGTGAGCAGCATGGT